AAAGTCAACCAATATATGCAACTAATAACAACTAACTAATATGGTATACAAATCATAAATGAGTTATTCAGTATCTAGCTATATATGATATACAAGATCCATAGATTTATAGATATCTATAAATATAAGTCTATCATAATTCAAAATATATCTAACACATAATGTATACTATTAAATAGTTCAAAATAATTTTGAAATAATTTTATCAATTTTTTTTCTAAAATTTAGACTGACAATTTAAACATAAAAATTATATTAATTATTTAATACAGGTTTTTGTCATTTGTTTAAGTACAAATAAGATGTTTAAAACCTTACTTCTAGCACGTGTTAATATATACTCGTATATGCATATAAAAAATATTTCTACAAATTACAATTGTTGAGCAAAAGAAAGGGGAATAACACTCGTAAAAACTAACTTTATGGTGGGTACATTTTTAATCAGCCGTTCCATAGTCGTTTGTATTGTATCTCCAGAGGGAGGAAAAATCGCTGGGTTTAAAAGGGTAGTTTTCGTTGTTTCTGTCAACTCGATTTCAAGTTTAAAACTTATGTCGTTTCACGTTTCGATGATCATAAACATAAATATTATAAGGTTATAAAATTTAAATATTGTTGAAATAAATGATTTAATTGTTGCATTGGTTTCATTTCTCGACATACCTATATAATACCAGTTGTATAATGTAATAAAAGGTGTGGTGAATTGGAAGTCGTCACTCGTGAATATCTCGTCACAAAAATGGATACAAATATTTATATTTGATTTCTAATTGCAATATGATGCAATGAAAACAAGAAATACATTTTTGGCATCACATTATATAAAAAAAAACTGACCGTCCAATGATATTTTTAATAGACATTTAAACAGAATGTATGAGTATTTCATAAATTTAATGGGGCATATAAATATACATAGGTATCATTTTAATATTATATCAAATTACTATATAGTTATACTCAGAACTACAACACACTGAAAATATTTTAAGATTAAAATCTATAAATCATAATTGAGTTGATTAATGAACTAAAAAAATATATTTATAATTTGTCTAAACTCAATGTTTTAACGCGATATGTTAATAAAGTATTAGATCTTTTTAATCTTTGGTATGTATACATTATACTATTAAGTAAATAATAACTTTACAGTAACAGAATAGTTATTTTAACCATAACTCATAAGAGCGCATAAAGTATATAACATATTATACTGATTGCATAAAACGTGATATTAGGTTACTAATTATAATAATATTACAAACTGCAGATAAAATGTTAATGGTACTAGAACTAACTATAATTATATGTACAGTTCAAATGGATAACGGAAAAAATATTTCATTCGCTGCACACAGATAATATTGACATGGTCTCAGGTAATGGGTTGGTCGTTAAAGAAAAAAAATACGACTTGTATACGGCGGCGTAAGAAAAAGGGGAATTTACGATGTTTTTCAGCCACACAACCATAAAACTCGGAAATAAAGGCATTTGGTCAGCAGCAATGCAACAGTATTGAAGTCCCATAGGAATATAATGTGTATATAGGCTAGGCAGACGGAAATGAGCTGCTAAAATACGGGTGCAACCGATACGATCATATGCGCTTCGGCGTTTGTTCTGCGCTGGACCGTAAGGTTTCGTATGTGTTCCTAACTATTATCAACAGGCGATAATAAATACTAAATAGCAATCCAGGAAATTAAAAAGAAAACACCAAAGGGCGCCTTACCATATTATATGCCTTTAGTTTGGAATGGCAAACTGCAATTTCAGATAATAAAAATAAGACCTAATACACCAATACTTAAACGTTTTGACTCCTCTGAAATGTCTCGATCGAATAGCTTAGAAATGTTGAAAAAGGATTTAAAAGTTTTAATATTATGATGAATTCGAMGTATTATTATGGTTTAAGATGATATATGAAAGCCGAATGCACATATTATGTTATTATATTTGCAATAATATGCTACATGGGGATAATCACCTATAGGCTATTTTATATTGGTAGCTTGTTAAGTCACGACTCACAACATTTATAATTATGATTATAAATATTTCTTCTTTTTACTATTTAGTAAGCCAAATTAATATAAAATTAATATTTACTAGATAATTATTTTTATTTATTTATTTTGTTTGTAATTTTTTAAAATTTACATTGTTTATTATACGTTATAATATTATATATAGTTTTAGTAACTATTTTTTCATACGATAATAATTCCTATTATAGCTTATATGTATGTACTATGAAAAATTTTGTCTCTATTTTAAATCGTTCATTTTATAAGTCAGTGGAAAATATAAAAACGATTTGAGAATATCTGATTATTCAAGTAAATTATTAACTAAATATCATATCTTCATGGCGTAGTTTTTATAAAAATTTCTTTAAAAGTTATAATAAATTATTGAGGAACTTAAATGAGATTACTAGTAATTTCATAATACTATATATTATGTATATTTAAAATAATTATATTTCATAAGAAAATGATGTCTACAAAATATAATTATGAATAGTAATGCAAATCGACAAGAAAAGAAAAAGAATTGCCTAGGGGTGTCAATGCGTTAATCCGACAATCGTCTACCACACAAAAAGAAACTACATATAAGTAATAGGCACCTATACTGCTATGGACTATACAACAATATATTCGTTCTAAATATTTCACACCTCAAATGACATGATACTTCTGGTTTTCCGGATAGAACAAAAGAATAAATGAAAAGATAACCAAATCGTGGAACGATTATCTGATGACATAAGAATACCATACACATATTTTATTAACATTTTATGATGTGGCGTCCCTGGGATGCACCCGTTCTGCACCAACAGCGATTAGTATAAACACTTGTTATAATACGAACGGTGCACGCACACTCGTTGAGGAGGGGTGGGTAGGACGAGGCTTAGAATAGTTATAGTTATTATAAACGATTGGATTTATAAAAGGATTCTTAAAAAATAATAATAGTAAGGTATAGTTTTGATGAATCTACAGCTTTGTGACTATAAACAACAAACAAACGAGCAAAGTCATCCTGAGATGTAACAGAGCTCGGTAGTCGGTGATCAGTAGCAGCAGTTATTATCGAGACCGTGAAACGTATAGGTATAATAGGTACACACTATGTACAATCATCGGGTGGGCGCTAATGAAAAGTACATGGCCGTTCGGAGGCCACCCGCATCCAATTAACGTTAACAATGACAACCGTAGTTGTTGTGTTCAGGAATTCCAAACCGTTTTCGGCACGCGTCTCATCTTCCAGTAAAATTTTTATCGGTATAGAACGCCGCGTCCGTGTAAAAAACATAATTTTGTATTGCTATAAATTAAAAAAAAAAATGTATTTGTTTTGTATTATCCATACATTTTTATTATATATATTGGCACACAAGTGAGGGTAAATTAAAGAATCCAATCAATCATTCCTTTCATTTATTACCTCAGACGCGACAAGCCTGCTATTTAATATATATTATGTATGTCGTATACTATACTATAATGTATTATTATATTTATATAATACAATATATTAATATAGGTAAAATACAAAATATGGTATGACAGTATGGTACATAAAACTCACAATATGAAATTATAAGGCTGAAGAAATTGAGACAAACGTAAAATATAATGCTATATAGTTATGTATGCAGTCAATATTGTGACACTAATGCACCTATATTAACCTACTTATATAGATATTATTTTTTAACTAAAGCCAGTGTTAACGACAAAATAAAATATATTCATCAATCTCAAACAATAAGACATATTTTCTTATTACTAATGATATAACATTATAGATTTTGAAAAATGTTCATTATTATTAATTATTTAATAGGTAATCGTTTATTAAGCGGAAAGCTAATTATTTATATATATATATATTTAAGTACATATTTTACGAATAATTCTGTATATACATTTATATATATAAGCGAAATAATATTAAATTATTATTTATTGGAAAGTTTTGATGGTATCTGCAATTGATTCCCCACTTTAGACATCTATAAATTTCACTATATTGTTGCATCTTAACTCTTAAAATTAAAAATATAAATATAGGTAATAAAGAAGAACCTGTTGGTTTTAGAAAAATGATTTGATTTCATTAAAGTTAAAAAAGTTTTATAACATGCAGTTATCTCAAATATTTATATTATTAAGTCAGATATACCTTATGGTATACCTACTCATATAGATAAGTAGGAATTTATTTTTATTTTCTTAAAATTAGAATTCAAACCAAGTTTTGGTAAATTAAAGGTTAGGATAATATTTTTAATGTTATCAGTTTTTCAATATAGTGATACCATACACCAGTGGGCTATATATGCAACACTCGAGTATAAGTGGTTCTTCAGATTTCAGATTTGTAGTAGGTATATTTGTACCTAGCATAACCTAGCATAGTATATGAAAATTATTATAATATTTCAAAAATATAAAATATATAAAATTAGTGATAATATCTATACCTACCTATATGTATAATGTGTGCTGTTTAATATACATAACACGTTCAAGTAACATTATTATTCCGACTATCAATATATGTGCATTTTACGTTTAATATTTATAACAAAATATTGATAGAAATAAAAAAATCGAAAATCAATATAACGATACAATATTAATAGGTATAGTGTATTATAGTATAATAGGTACGCGTATACCTCTATTATATAACGATACAATATAATAAGAGTATGGTTAAGGGAAACATCTATTTTCAGGAAACGGTTATTTTGTTATATTTTATACACACGCATATAGTAATAGTGTACCTATATACTTAGCGATCGGTCTATACCAAGTATATTATAGGTACGCCTATTATATATATATATATACTGCGGTAGTCATATATAAGATGTAACTAAATTATAAATTATTTTAAGTTATTAGAGCTTGCTCAAACCAAAAACATAAACAATGTTGGTATGATTTAAAACTAACCCCGGTTCGACGAGCGGCTGATTCTGTTTGGCGAACGGCATGCATAAGTCTGCCGGTACAAACCACGACGGGCTGAACGCGGCGGCGGCTGACCCGGGGCCACCACTGCCGGGCCCGCCGGCCGCGTGGTGATGGTGTCCCACGTTGGCCGCGGCCGGATGTCGCTGGAATGACGCGGACGCGTAATCCATGGCCATCGCCTGATACGGCAGCATGATGTGCGCGTGTGAAAAATCCAGCGTACGTGAGGGCGCGTCAATTGTTAGCTGCGGCAGCGCATCGCGTTACGTAATTTATTAAAATATATTATTCGACAACGGATAAACACTCACAACGGCACTGCCAAACGATCTATACTACATATAAGACGATATATGCGTGCTCATGTGACGTAAAATAAAATATTGAATGTATGTTATCAGCTGTACACACGTGAGGAACAAAAACGCGAACGAAATTAAGGTCGGACGAATTAAAAACGTCTAATTTTTCCACTACAGATCTTCATGGCGTGCCGTAATTCTCGCGAAACGTGATACGACAATATAAGGTGAACACGCGTAAACGTACGATGCGTATTATAATATAATATTATGCGCGTGTTGCATAAAATTGTTTAAAGGTGTCACTGTACAGCAGTCACACGTCGTATCGGCGGTGCAAATAATAGCGCGCGTGCGGCGTTTCGAAAAAATCCAAGACGACACGTCCGAGACGGGCTGGTTGCGGTCCGCACTGAGACGACGTCGAACGTTCGTACCGGCGCGCGGAGGGTTCGACGCGGCGCGACACAATCAAGGCGCTGCAGACGGTGGCGGAGCGCGCGCGCTCTTCGCCGGACACGCCCAGGCACGTACACCATTGGTCCTCCACATGCTCCACCCACGTACGCGCGCGCGAACGTCACGTCACCGCCGCCGCCGTCGCCGCTTACCTGTTACTATTTTTGTTACATCGTACGACGCGCATATTATATTATGCTATACCGTTTTGCCGAACTATATTCATTAACGACGGAAACGGCCGTCACGTGCGTCTACCTCTCGCCCCTAACGAATACCTATATGGTTATATGTACATCAATAGATGGTGAGTGGGTGTGTTTTTGTGCATGTGTGTGTACGCGTGTGTGTATGTTTAGGTGCGTGGCGCTCTTCCCCAAAGCTACAGAATCTTGTGGGTTTTAGAGCCTCAGCACGATCCATTTTCTCGCACCGTTTCCGATGCTGATTTTCCTTATTATTATTATAGACTGCTGCGCGTGTGATTGTGTGATGTGTAGTATGCCTAATACCTATATACTGTGTGTAACGTGTCTTTGTGTATAATATAGTTACATATAGCTATAGATACCTATAAAGGTATTTTGGTCTCAATTGTCTCTGATATTAATTTTATCAATTTACGTAGAGGTAATTTTAATTGATAATTATCTATTACAGCTAGTCGTCTATCTACAATAGCTGGTATAGGTAACTTGATATCTAAACGGTTAAATCAATAATTTACAAGTGTAAAGCAGGATTTACAGCTTTACGTCGTGTGTTGTGCCACGCGTGCGAGAATGTGGTGACTATGGTCAGGAGCATCATTTTAACTTTTTTATTGTTAGGGTCAACATTTTTGCAGGTCATTTCAAATCATTACTAAGCCGCAACATTTTTCTTTTTTTTTGGTAGGGGGATCAGGTGGGGAAACATTTTTTTTAGAATATTTGTATAATATTTTTT